TCTGTGTTATACCTCTGAGGATGCCAGTCACAGCTGCTGGCAAAACGTCAGGTACTACAATGCCAAGACCACAGCCATACAGCCCGAAAAATCTACAACAACTAATGAACTCCGGCCGTGAAAGCCTTCAACAACACATTTAAAACATGGTTGATAAAAATCATATTTTAAAACCATTGGAATAACCCCCCCCCAAACACACATCATTAAAACAAATTAAAAACAAAATATGTACAAAGACATAAAGGAGAGCAATTAAAACATTGATCCAGTAAGGAGGGAACACGGAGAGAATGCCAATGGCTAAGGATGGAATTTCATAGTTAGAGGCAGTCTTATCACTGAATGAGACGTGCTGGGGGGTTAAACAGGAAGCGGCGACCATCTTCAGCGTTTCCTTGTCTGAGCCTTTTAAGGGCATCCGATTGCCAGATTAGCAGGGCCTCTAGTTGGATCCAGCTGGAAGACCCTTCTGGTTCTGTTAACTAGTTTTGTGGATTTTGTGGTCTTGGGGGCACAGCTAGGGTGAGGTGAGGGAGAGCAAGTGGAAGATGGTTATCCTGGCTGTTCAGACAAGCAGGCCAACCTTTACAGGAGTTTTGGTTCTAGGGCAGAAAAGAAAGATGGGCATGTGGCCCCCGAGACCATCTTGGCCTTCCGTCACAAGTTGGAGTGTCTGAAATGGAGCTCTCAGTTGGTGAAATCTGAGCCACCCCAGGTGTGCCCAGAGCAACCAACACAACTTTCCCTTCTCTTTCTAGGTGACTGACTTGTCGTTCTCGCAACTGAATCCTGAAGGAGAGGAGGAGGCCTTGTCTGACTTCAGCATGGATGGAGAATAGCCACTGGGTGTCCTCATGTTAGACTGGGAGGGCTTCGTCTGACCCCTATGTCCAGTTTTCCTCTCCGTGCTATTTAAGAGCAGGTGTCCCAGCCTTCCAAGTATGTTCCATGGTCTGGAAGCCGATTCCATTGTTCTCCTAAGATCTGCACCTGAATCCTCTGACACAACACCGCCCTATCTGATGGTTTAACTCTTCTGTAATGACCTGTTTGTTTGTGAAGGTTGTGCATAGGCCATAGGGAGTGGTTCATCATTTCACAGCATTCTTTTTTATAATATATCACTAAAAATAATTGTCTGTGTGTTTTTTCATACCAAGGGAGTTGCTTTCTTTCAGTAAACACAATGTAAGCTTAATTTCCATGTTGGCTCAGTAAAAGGCATTGTGTAAATAATTTTTACAAGGTGTCTGCGGAGGAGGGAATACCCATTTGTTTGCTTTTGGTTCAAGAATGCACAGCAACTTACTAGTTGCTTTAATGCCATCCCTTTTCACATTAGAAACTGTTTACCGCTTGTAAAAGTTCACTCTGAGTAACCCGTCACATTCCAGTGCTTTCCATATTTCCCCCCCTAAGCCTTGGGGGGGGCAGTTAAAAAAACCCCTGCAATTGTTATACCGGGGTATCCAGTGGGCACAGTCAAAGATACTGAAAAGTATGCAAACAATGATTTCAACAAAGCGTACTTTATTCGATCAGGAACAAGATGACTTTGGCCGGCTAACAGGCTGGCTTATATTCCCCGAGAAACTGCCACCCAAAACACACACACACACCCGCTTCCCAATAGGTTATTTACAGCGGCTGAGAGTCCCATTGGCTCTCGGCCAGGAACCTAGCCCCCTGATTGGAGCGGGCTAGGATCCGCATAGTCCATTGTCTCTTTGAGCGAAGCTCAACGTTTATCTCTGGACTTGTCTGGACATGTCAGGACTTGCTACACCACAGTTACATTTAAGTTTCTCAAGAAACGTCTCTGGACAGTGCTGGCACTTCGGCTTGGAAAAATGGGAGATGAGCACCGCATCCCTAGAGTCGGATTGGACTGGCTTTCGAGCAAGGGAAACCTTTACCTTTACTACGTTCTCTCCATGGTGTATTTTTTTTCTGTTGTGAAGTTAAAGCAGAGGAGAACAAGTGAAGCCGCTTTGAGGCCCCCCACTGGGGAGAAAGGCGGGATAGAAATCAATTAATAAATAATAAAAATACACAGTCAAGGTCAGCGGGGGCTATTAAAGCGACGGAAACGCTTATGTGATCTTGGCCGTGTCACTGTAGCACTGCAAGGAGTCCATTGGGCAGGCGTGGATCAACCTCCCCTTCTCTTTCCGCCTCGTCCCCCTCCCTCGCAAGGTTGTGCAGAGACAACGCAGAGGTGGGCGGAGAGGGCGGGCTAAGCGCGCGCTAAAAGAAAAGAGGAGGGCGCGGAGGGAGATTCGGAAGCGGAGGACGCACGAGGGTGAGGCCCGGAGTTGAGCGCGGGGCTTGAGGAACCCTTCCCATCGGCTGTGTGAACACTTGCGGATTGCAACCCCGACCCGCAAAGGAAGGCCCCCCCCCAAGGTCTCGAGGACTCCCCCAGAGACTGAGACGTCACCCCGCTCGTTTCAGAGCTGCGCTTCTTCCTCCTCCCCGATGGCCCTGGAGGAAAGTGGCAGGCGGGCGGAGACTTCTGGGAGCCACGTGGAGATCTGGGGCTCCCCTGGGGAAGCCGGAGCCGAAGGGCCTTTCCTTTTGGAGCAGACGTCGAGGGACTCCACCGACCGGTCCTCCGAAAGCGACGACGGCTCCCGCGAACCCCCCAAAGTGCCACGAGACGAGGGTGAGGAGGAGGAGGCGCTCTTCCAAATCGGAGGGTGGGGAGACATGAGCCACACCACAGACCGGGGGCGGGGGCAGG